ATATATATATATATATATATATATATATATATATATATATATATATATATATATATATATATATATATATATATATATATATATATATATATATATATACGTAGAAACACTTTAGTATACATACGTGTCTGAAACATGTGGCAGGAGCAGCCTTTCCATTACAGCTCTTTAGATATTCACTCCAAACGAAACTTTTCTTTTGCCAATTGTCTGTCATAACCACGTCAGCAACTAAAACAATGGAACATACAGTTGACGTAACATGGCGACCAAGCGCTTATTTTGTATTGATGAAAGCATAACCTTAAAGGTTGAATTTTCACTCTTCCATTGAAATGCACGAGATGAAATGTGTATAGCAATGGGTTTTTGGTCCGTTTTTTCGGGGGGTTTTACATGTAATATTACTGTACAGTATGTTTGGACTTCTTATGAAGAAAAAAAGAGAAGTTTTATACTTGACAATCATTCTTTATAATTTGATTTTGTGATAAAATGTCTCAGTTTATCCATATAACACTATATTTTATCCATATAACAATTAGAAAAAAATGCCGCCGTAAAAAGTAGAATTGCCGGCTGGTTCTATCATAACGGAGGCAATTTTCGGCTTCCGGAAATTTTGTCTAATTCCGACGGCTGTGAACCAACTACTACAGACATGAACAAGATATTTGAAACTTACTTTGAGGTTTTATTAGAGATACTTCTGTCTTAATCTGAAAAGAAAACAAACAAGTTTTATATTCTTTGCTCGACAAAACGTTAACGGTTACCAGTGCTCAATATAACAGTCTACTGACGTCTATCTATTTGACGTCTACTGCGCGGATGGCCGATTATTTTGCCACATTAATTTAAATAAACAAAATTTCCCAGTAATATGTTTGTTACACATGCAAAGGAAGTTATATTACTGTACAGGTACACTAAAGCCCAGGTCACACTACACAACGATACGATAACTTGCAAACGCGCGCCGATTGGTCAAAAATTTATCGTTATCGTCCGACTGAAAAAAAAATCGCTCGGGTGAGCAATTTTAAAATCGTTATCGTTGTCGTCAAACGATAATTTTATCATTTTCGTTGTAGTGTGGACACTAACACTATTTTTTTGCCAATTATCGCGTGTTTACAATTTATCGTATCGTATATTCATCTTAGATTGGTACACTGTAACAAAGTTGCCTTTTTCATACAAACTACTGTGAAAAAAAAACAGGCCTCGGGCCGATCAAAATATTCATTATTTTACTTTATATGTAAGTAGTACAAGAAAAATATGCAAGCATGTTTCATACATTTGCATTATTGCTAAACGTTTAAAAATGCAAGACTATATATTTTACAATAATTGCTATAGGTTTTAGTATATATACGTATATGTACACATCAGTTCATTTCCGTAAAATTGGCTTGATAAACGGAGTAAATGAGTGTTGAAAAAGAAAACAAATAATCACAAAACCTCCAAGGCCTCGGAATTAGCGGAAAATTAGCAATGTTTTGCTACTGACTGCCTATACATATACATTCCCCATTTAAAATTTAACAAACCTTTTTACTTGGCGTTGGTTTTCGAACTGTCCTTTTCTTGGTGGGTGTAATTCTGTCTGTTTTCCTTTTCTTAATGTTCGATGCTGAGTACTTTTTGGCACATTCCACTTTACAAAATCTCTTGGACTTGGAAAAGAACTTCTCTTTCACACCAAAGAAACCACAGAATTCGCAGGTGCCTGTGCATTGAACAAAAAAGCAAACATGGTGAGAAATAATCTCACTAAAGGCCCGTTCACACTTGCAATTTTTGCTGCGATTTCTGGTGGGATTTTCTCCTTCTGATGCATGTGAACGAGCAGATGAGTTATGAATGTTCGGAGGACATGTACCCTCATCCGAATATACATAAGGCCAAAAAAAAAATATGTGGGTTTCCGGTTTCCCGACCCTACCTAGCTTTTGGACGTCGAAATCCCGACCCTAAACTTTTTTATTGGATCATGCTTGTAAGTGTTTCCACTTACAGGAAAAAAATTGTGGAAAATTGAAATTTGAGGAAATATTAGGGAATTATATCTTTGGATGTGGAAGCACTGACTAAACAAAATGGCGTCCGCTTATTCGGAAAATTAAAAAAAGTTTAAAAAAAAAAGTTAAAACCGACCTACCCTACCTAAGTTTTTATAAGAAGAAACCGGAAACCCACATATTTTTTTTTTTGGCCTAATTTATCCACTCGTTCACATCCATCAGAAGAAGAACATCGCACCTAAAATCGCAGGTGTCAACGAGCCTTAAAGGTTTACACGAGAACATCACAAAACCTACATCATCCCACCGGGCACGCATGCACAAACGTTGCGAAATATTATATACACACGTAAAAACGCACGCATTGTAACAGACATGCAGACGACTTGCGCCAATGCGGTTTCAACAACTTGTTACATTGTGTTAGGATGTGTTCGCACTGGTTGTTCCCAGCAGTGGTAGTGCCAACAAGTTGCTTTCCTGCAATTCAACAACTTGTTGACAAGCAGTTATAGTGAGAATCTTGTGGCAACTTGATGAAATGACATCATTATTAACACTTGTTGTTGACAAGCTTGCTTCAAATATGTCGCGAACACATCTTGTTGACAAGATGCGAGATTTTACGTCTGTATATACAGTACATTCCGTGTGTTTACTTGTAAACAACATGTTTACAAGATCAAGGGTTAATACAAGCACTTTACTACAAGCAGTGTACGGATATTAGTAAAAACTCAATCTTTCTCCGTAATTATATTTTTCACAATATGTTTTGAAAAAATTATGGCAAATGTGAATAACTAACTGTAAAAGGAAGAAAGTATACTTGATCGTTGTTGTACATTCTTCAACGGGTCATTAAAATCCGTTTTAAAGTGCAGTCTGAATGCAGAAAATGTTATTTTGTATGAACAAAATCAAGAATTTTCCGGGCGGTGGATATCTTGGTAGATGTACTGTGGTGTTCTCCTAGTAAAACTCAATTTCTTCCGAAAAAACGGTAGACTAAAATGCTTGTATTAATCCTTGCAAGACAAATTATCGTACACAACACGAAATTCTATACGTCATTTTATACGAAATTCTCCTAATATAAATGCTAACTTTACACGTACCCATTACAGGCGCTGGGTCAGGTATCTTTGACGGCTCGCTTGATTCCTGCTAAAATTAAAATAAACATTAAAGAGAAGGCTTTCATTTCGGTAGCCTGCAGTGCAAAACGTCAAACTCACTGGTAAATTTCCCAAGCGCAGTTAACAGGTTTCTACAACAAGTTTATATATAATGTTTTTGTTACGGACTTTTGCTTCATGCAACGCAGTAACACTGTAACAGACAGTTATTATGTTTGGTCTTCTTCAGCCCTTCAGGTATATCCGTTTGAAGTCCTGACTAATAATAATTTGGGTATAGCCAATACTATTTTGCTCTACTGAGGCTCTATGAGCGAAGCGAGTATGAAACGAATTTTCGGATCGGTCGAAGCTTCAAGAGCGTTGTAAGTTGAGTGGTGGGCAAAGGCTTGCAAGGCTAAAAATTTCAGTTTGTCATGACTGCAAGTACCGGCGAATATAGCCTCTGGCAAATGGCTGTCAAATGTCTTCTTAGTGCTGACGAAATTCGCCGTTCGCCGGCCTCAAACAAGATGGGTGCTTCTTACGAAAAAAGGGAGAAATTTCACACTTGACATTCTTTTTAAGTTCGTTTTCATTGACATCCTCAGTTCATCCATAATACTTAGAACAAACGGCGCTGTGAAAAGTAGAATTGCCGCGGGGTTCGATCATGTAAACAGAGGTAATTTTGGCTTGGAACCAGAAATTTTGCTTAATTCCGATAGCTGGAGATCACAGGGATAACGAATATTTATTTTCTCAAGTGAATGCCCCATTGGTACTGTGCATTCGACCATGCGGTTGGTACAGTACTACGGTAGCAAACTAAGGCGAATACTATTTAACGTCAGCCGGTCACCATACAAATATGCAGGGCAAATGTCGGAAGTACAGTACAGTATTGGCATGAAGATTACCAAAACTGATATTTTCATCTTAGGATGTTACAGTACACCATACTGATATCCGATGTGGCGATCTCGATACAAATTTTGCCATTTCGGGTACATCAATAATGCTGACGAGATAAATCCTAATCACATGCACACACTTACTACATTTCCTTCGGTAGGTTGGAGAGTAGAAGTTTCCATAGGAATAGTGGGTTGAAAATTTGATTCAGGATCAATGCTTGGACTTCCACCAAACCGAACCTCATCTTCTCCATAAAAGCCTAGCATTGCAGCAGGATCTGAATTAGCTGGGTTGCCAACCTACATATGAAAGTAAACGAATATTATAAATGTATGAATATAATATGTAAGAAAAAAGCTATCTTACCCAGGGCCCTTCAAGACAAATATCACTATGGTAAAAATTTACAATGATACACAATGGGATGTTAGAAAAGAGTAAAAAATGTCTTAAAAAAGTGCATCGAACATCCTTCTAATTATCAAACATCCCCATTGAAATATTTTTGTGCTTGAAAAATGTGAACTCTGTGCCTGTAATGTACTGTATAAAAAGGGTACAGGTATACAGTATATACATTGTTAAATTATGTAACATACCAGTGCATCATGGACTGGAACTGATGAAGGCAGAAATTCAGTCTGATTGTCCGTGAGCATTGGCTCCATCGTTTCCTTGAAAATCACACCATCGTTTGCTCCTGCTGGGTCTGGTGGAAAACAAATCTTCAAAACTGACTTCATTTGAGCAGTGATAATTTAAACCTAAAATAACTAATTGTAGTGCAATTATCAATGATTTTATTATGGCTTTGTCACTTCTTTTCAGAACATAAATAGTCACTACATTATTTATTGCATCATGAAATTGTGGTGTAAACAAATGAATGCTTTACGGAATGGTACATGTGCAAGAGTAATAAATATATCTGCTTTGAAATTTGTTGCCGATTGCAGAATTTTGTCACAGGCCTTAAAATATCTTTTACAGGGTCGTCTGACAAAATGTCCGGTGACGTTGAGTTTGGGTCGGACATATGTCCGATGACCTTCAGTTCAGTTTTGACTCGGAAATAAGTCTGAGTGCCGGCACAAATGAATAAACGGTAAATGTAGTAAAGATGTTAAATACTTTGTTTCTTTCGTACTTATTTCCAAGCCAAAATTACGTGATGACATTGTTTACAACAGAATAACTTCAAGGAAAAACTGCCCAGATTGGTCGGATCGTTTAGAGATCATCGCACTCGAACTTGAGCTGTTAAATTCAAAGAAATCTCTAGTGTGTGTTTGTGATCGACCACCTAGTTGCGAATTAGACGAATGGCTCGAATCGTTCACTACATTTCTGCAGGAAACATCACACTACGATAAAGTCCTTATCACCGGTGACTTCAACTTCCCAGATTTAACTTGGAACTCCAGCCTGGTGCCTACCAAATCAGAAAGAAGTATCTCGGCAGGATCATCTGAATTTAGAGAACTTGCGTTTGATTTTTTCTTCCACCAAGTCAGCATGTGCCCTACTAGACAAAACAACATTCTAGACCTCGTCCTAACGAACGCTCCTGAAAACATTGTCAATCTCTCGTGCGTTCCCGCCAAAACAATGGATCTCTCAAGTGACCACAACCTGATGTTCTTTGACATCTTACTTCATATTAAATCAACAGGTTTTGACAAGAGAACTGTTTTTGATTTCCATCATGCAGACTGGAACGGCCTATACCACGCCCTTAACCACATCAATTTATCACCCAACGAGTCGAATGATATCAACAAAGATTGGAAGCGATGTAAAGACCTCTTCCTTGGTGCCGCGGCTGATTATATTCCACTCAAAACCTTCAAACGGCGTAGCTCTCCTCCATGGATTGACGGTGAAGTCAGGCGTCTTCTCTCAAAGAAAGACTCGTGTAGAAAAAAGGCGAAACTTTCCTCATCTGCTAATCTCTGGGGAAAATTCCGTGATCTTCGACGTGCGGTCAAGACATTAATTAGTAAGAACCAAGCGAATAGAGTACTTCCAGAAACTTCCAACTTTGCTAAAATCGAGCAGTAAAAAGTTCTGGTCTGTCTTCAAATCTACCTCGAAACATTCTAACATTCCCAGTAAAATGTCGTGGACCCAACAAGATTCAACTTCCTCCACAGCTGAAAACCCTGCCGACATTGTCGACCTGTTAAACCGTTACTTCTACTCGGTGTTCAAACATTCCGATACTACTGACGACCATTCCCCTTCTGTTGCTCCTGATAACGACACGACTGATCTTACCACCATCGCAAACATCTTGTTAACAGAAGAGGAAGTACGTGTTGTACTCAAAGCACTGGATGAAGCCAAAGCTAGTGGCCCCGACAAAATCCCAGCGTTACTGCCGAAGAACTGTGCAGTTAACATCAGTTCATCTCTATGCCAGCTGTTCAAAAAGAGCTTATCTTGTGGAATTCTGCCGTCCGAATGGAAGCTGGCCAACATCAGTCCAATTCCAAAAAGGAACCCTATTCATGACGTAACCAACTACAGACCAATATCACTGTTGTCATTAGTCTTGAAAGTGTTTGAACGCTGTATATATAATAGACTTATAGAACACGTATACGGTCAAATTTACGAACTGCAGTACGGTTTTTCAGGGGAAGATCTACAACATCGCAGCTGCTACACATTCTCCATCAAGTTCTTAACGTACTTGAGCAAAGAAAACCAAGTTGACATTTCTATCTCGACTTTGCCAAAGCTTTTGAAGCTTCACAACTTCGGTATAAGAGAAAATCTTCTTCGTTGGTTCAAAGACTTCCTTTCTGGGCGATTCCAGAGAGTCACTGCGCTTGGTGTTACATCAAAACCACTTCCAG